AGTGTCATTGTCATTGCTTTCAGATTTTAACTTTTAAGACCCATTATGTTTTGTTTTTATACATTAATCTTCATATTTAGTAAAGTTTATTTAAACATTTTTAGATAAGTGCTATTAAGCTTTTTAACTGTAGATAAGCAATCATTTGTACAATGATGAACAAAATATGGCAGTATCCCAATACTCAAACAATTTGATATTCAAATACAAATTCTGGTAAAAAGTCACTTGGTACTTGACTGAACAAATGTGACCTGTTAGAACAAATTTTCAATTAATAACATATTTTTATTTCATTGTCTATAAAAATTTTTTATGATAAAAATAAAAAATATGAAAATGTTGCTGATACTTCTGATCAAGATCAACAAAAATGTTGAGATGACAACAATACTTTGTAAAAAAGAAAATGCCCTCATTTAACTAAAGTTAATATTAATGCATAATACAACACTTTTAATTGTGATTGTTAGTTAATTATTGATTAAAAATAAATTATCTATTGCTTTAATAAACATATTTCTCTTAGTAACAAAAAAAATAGTATACTTTTGCTAACTTCTGAAACATAATCACATGTTTTGCATTAGTCCTTTGTTTCATATAGCACAGATCTGCATAACATGACACTTTTTCAGAACGTAACTACTGTGTTATATGACGGATACCGGTATTCTACATGAATATGTTAGACTAGATGTTGCTTTTTGGAGAGATTAGTAAAAAGGCAGTTGGATTAACATAACTGGTTGTGTAACAAAAGAACAAAGAGTGCACAAAGATTACACACAGTCTTTACTCACAGAAGGTCAGCACTAGAAAGGATAGAGTGAAATGAGGTCACCTTCCCCGAGGGGTCAAGAGCACCATCAACCTTTTATTATGTCAGAAGAACATTACAAAACATCGCAATCGTTGATTCCAACACACCCCCTCAACGATTGATCATTAATACAATCCAATATCACGAGTAAATTTCTTAACCTTATTCACGTCTAGCGGCTTTGTTAACAAATTGGCCGTCATTCGTTCACTCGGACAATAGATTACAGTAATTTCTCCCAAATTCTTTAAATCACATACAAAATGGTATTTTGTGTCAATATGTTTCATGCGCTGTTGTGCTTTTCCTAATTCTTCATCAATATTTCCTAATTTAAGTTTCTTTTTTTGTCAAATTCAGATAACGAAAGATTCTTTTTATTTCCACCCAATCACTTTCTGAAGGTTTTGTTACTTTTCTCGCTAATAGCGATGTACTTATCGCAATATCTGGATGCGAGTTAGTCACTAGATATAATAAAGATCCAATAGCACTTCTGTATACATTGTTGTTTTTGAATATATCAGGCATTTCATTTCTTCTTAAGTATCCTGTATCCATAGGAATATTAGACAGTCTTGAATCGGATAAGTTAAATTCCCACAATTTATTTTCGATATATCTTTCTTAGTGGAGTAAAAATATTCCATTCTCGTATCTTTCAAATTGTATTCCCAGATAATATTTTAAGTTACCTAAATTCTTGATTTTAAACATTTCTTTCATTTCGGTCTCAAATTCAGTTAACATATGTTCGTCTGTGACCATTGCTATTATGTCATCTACGTGAATTGCTAAATACAAGCATCTTTTATGGCCTCTGGTATAAAGACAGAGATCAGCCACACTTCTTCTAAATCCTTTAGATAGCAATGTTTCATTGAATTTTTTATTCCATTTCTTGTTCCCTTGTTTTCATTTCACATTCTTCTTTTAAATTTGTATTATTAACTATTGTAACTTGTTTTGAATTTTCATTATCATCATGTATATCGATTTCAGAGTCTCTGTGCTTGATGTTTTCCAGAAAGTGAACATTTCTGCTTATTGTTATCTTATCAGTTTTTGTGTCAACTAATCAATAAGCTTTCGATGCTCTCTTGTATCCTACAAAAATTAGTTTTGTGGCTTTAGGTTCTAGTTTCTTTCAATCTTTAGGTTTAATAACATAGGCTGAGCATCCAAAAATTCTTACATGCAAGAGGTTTGACTTCTTTCTATGCCATTTTTCGTATGGAATTGTTTCACTTGTTTTAGTAATTAATCTATTCTGTAGGTAATTTGATTTTATTCACCACTTCTCCCAAGTATTTGTTTGGTAATCCAGCAAATCGTTCGAGACTGCATACTATAATATCAAAAAACTATCTAATACACTAAGCAAAGCGTTCGATTTACATTTTGTTATTTTTATTTGCTTTATTTTTCTTGAGAAAGGTCTTTTAACAAGACCAAAAACGTTAGAAATTTTTCTTATAAACTCCGGCTGCAAGATAAGGTGTATTAGTAAGTTTTTTGGTAATCCAGCATCAATTAATTAAACATGCATCTTGTCATTTCTGTCAGTTATCTATTTTTCCTTTCTGCTACTCCATTTTGTTGCGGTGAGGAAGTGCCGTAGTTTCCCATAGAATGCCTTCATTTTTAAACATCTGTAAGTTGGTACTTGAAAATTCACCTCCTCTGTTCGATCTGATTCGTTGAGGTATTCTTCCAAATTTTGTTTGTATATATTTAACATATTCCTTTATTTGATGAGGCCTTTCTTCTTAAGTGTTCCTCAAGTAATTTATTACATACTAATTCCTGAGTTAAATCTTCTTCTGGACAAGTCTCTAGTGCTGTTATTAAAGTGTTATAACTGTCTGGCAAGCTACTAAGTAATAATGCTATCTTTAATTTCTCAGCTAGAGTTTCTCCCAGTGCTGTAAGACGATCAACCAATTCCTCCATGTTGGCCAAGTGTATCTCCATGTCACCGCTTTCTTCTAGTTTTAAATTGCAAATTTTCTTCAATAGGTAAACTTTATTTGATAGTGTAGACTTAACATGGTGTTTCCTTATGGCTTCCCAAGTTCCTTTAGCTGTAGTTTCCTTTCTTACTAATGGCAGTTGATTGTCTTCCATCAGGAGGCCTATCATGGTGCGCGCCTTTCCGTTCTTTGTTAACCAAGATGAGTCAGGATCTGAGGGTATTTCCTTTTTTATTACATCCCATAATTCGTCTTTTATCAACAGCAATTCCATCTTATATTTCCAAATGTGATAGTTGTTGTTGTTCAATTTAGTGATGGCAACGTAACTTTTATCCGCCATTGTGAAATCCTTTGTGTTCTCGCCGAATATTCTTCTTACGTAAGTTTCTTGAATTTACCTTTTTTTTTTNTCAGGCATTTCACTATCCTGTCCTCCATCCAGCATCACCATGCACCAAACATCGATTTGTCCTCCTTTTTGGGGTGTGATGTAAAATGTGTACAAAAATAGTTCAGTTGTCACTTCGAATGAACTGAGGAAGCTGGTTAATGTTTCCACCACTTTGATCTAGTGGCACTTTGGCCATTTTCTTTGTTAAGAGACTAAAGAATTTCACAAGTGTTTACAAATGGTCACAAATGTATGGTTGAGGGCATGGCAAAGATGAAAGGTCTAACCAATCATCTTTGGACTTTGGCAGAATTGTCGTTTTAACTGGACAGAAGTTGCATGTGCGGCTGGCGAGGTAGAGGAGGTTAGAGTTATTAAAATTTGGAAGCAGACTGTTGCTGACCCCTAGAAGAAGAGACATTTTCTTTACAAGTTGCTTCAACTAAGTGCCGACGCCTGTGTCTTTCCTAGCTCATTCGATGGCCTCATATTCGATGGCATCACCAAATTTTTTTTTCCATTTTTTATTTATACATGTATGTATTAAAAAAAAGGAAAGCACAGGGGGTCAACAGGATGCGCGGGGGCTACCCCCAACAGTGTCCTCCTTTTTAAGCATTGGGTGACGGCCACCCTACTTCTGGTCCTTCTGGGCTACCCTGCATCAGATGTTTATATATAGTTAATTGAGGTCTCCTGCCCCTAATCTTGCCATATCTAGTCTTGAATTTCATTTATCTAACACTGTCCTCAAGATTACGGATGGGCAGACAAACAGACAGACAACAGTGGGAATTTATAAGTCTACAATTTTTTCAAATTGCAGTGCAATAAATTCCTAATAATGATTCAAGATCTTCAACACATACTATAGAAAAGGGCTTCATACATTTATAGAAAGGGCATCATACATTTTGCAAGAAGCTTCAAACTATGAATTAACATTGAAACAGCACTTCCACTAGGTGGCACCAATTGCAGTTAGGGGAAGCTTAGCCTTGAAAGTAAAAACATTCTTTGTTTTCAAGGCCAAAGTTTAGTCAACCTACAACAAAGTTGCTTGGAACAATGAACAAATATCATTCATTAATTTCTTTTATATTTGCAGAATATACTATAACTCATAAATTTTCTTTTATTTGTAAATAATGGAATTTAAGGCTGCTTTGGTGATTAGGAAAAGGGTAATCCAGACAGAAAGGGGAAGGAAGACAAGTGCCGCTGGCCCACATAATCCTTGTAATTTCTCCTTTTCTCTTATTCTAGTCTCCTGTAGTTTTAAAATAGGTTAAGGAATTGCAAATTAAACAAAAGTTGAATTTGCAATTCCTTGGCTTTGTTTACCTGTTATATACATTTCCCTCCCCATTCTGCAGAGTTTATTGATCTAGGCAATAAAGCAAACAGCAACCATAAATAAAAGAGAAAGACAGAGAAAGTTATAGAAATACCCACAAAAAATAACAGTATCTAAATATATGATATTTTCTTATAATATATAGCAGTGACTCTCACACAGACATGAAAACAGACTTCTCATTAATATTGACATTTTTAAAAAAACATTTTGTTTCTTTTAAAATGTGTTACTAAATAATCTAATCTAAATTATATAATAATTATTATTAATACTATTTTATGTTAAACCATATCTCTTCCTCAGTTTGCATTTGTAAAATATTGCAAATCTGATTATTAGATTGTGACTAATTTTTTATGCAGAAATTTGATCTCAAAATACAAAAAAGTTGGCCATCCCAGTTATATGCCATAAAATATGGTAATTTAAAAGAACTTATATTGTATATACCATGTGTATTGTGGTTCTTTTGAATCTCGGCCAGTTGATATAGAAATTCCATCATCATCTTGAGTAACATGAAGTGAGACTTTCTCCTCTGTACAAAAAAAAATTTATTAAATATTTAAAGAAAAGAAAAACATTTATCTCATTAAAAAATGTATAATAAAATACAGTAACAAAAATTTTCTTCTAGATAACAAATTTCATTATAATTTTATGAAAACCTTAATATTTTTATATAAAGAATATTTTGAATGTCCATAAAATTACACATTTTTGAAATCGAAATTTAACTAAAATAAAAAAAATGTCCAACTGTATGAAATAGACTAATTTAATAATTGAAGATGCTTTCACAAAATAATAAGATTCACATAACTTGATTCATAGTTCAGACTATATAATAGAACCATTTATTTTTATTTTATGGAATTAAAAACTGCTTATAAAGTTTTATTTGCACAAAAAAATTTTAATTCTTTATCTACCTAACTTTATCATTGAAATACAAAAATAAAAATTAGATACACAGTTAAGAAATCATACACAATAGAGTCATGATAGTTCAAGGTTCTGTATAGTTTGAAGCACTACTACCCTTAAGCCAAAGTACATGTACTCAATCAAAACATATAAAACTTATATACTTGGATAATTTAAATCAAATGTGTAATGAGATACAATACACTGAAATTGTAAACACACTGAAAAGTCTAACATTGGCTTTCAATCTACTGCATTGTGAAATAAATGTTGTGAATATCATGAAAGTCGTGTGATGTCCTAGTTCTAATTATAGCTGAACTTGATTATAATGACATTCAAAGGACCATCTTATTTATGTCATTATAACTGGGCTTAAGTTATAGCTGGGTTCTAATGTTTCTGAGCTAAGCATGTAAAAATACAGTATGACAACTGTATGCATTAATGCACTTATACTTTATTACACTACACATTATACATTACACATTCATTGCTTTTAATGCTTAAAAACGTCAGTAATTTTGCTTTGAGTCTTTGGCATTTTTCAATACATGTTATTTAAATCATTCTGGAGATGGGAAAAGAATAGCAAATATCATGTCTTCTGTTTGGGAAGAAGGTTTGAAGAATCAAGTTTTTTTTTAAGTGGAAATTGTTTCATTTAGCATAGGAACAGGTTTCAAATTTACAAACTCTTTATAGTTATCATAACCATTTTCCATATCATCATAATTGCTAGCTTCCTCTTGCACTTCCACTAAGATATCAGCATCAGAGTTTGTTGCACTGGTTATAATGTCATTGTTTGAATATATTGTTGCATCTCCCTCTGCATTTGAGATAATTTCAGTATTGATCTCATCGTACCATTCAGGTTCTTTGGAGTCCAAGCTTGTAGCTGCATCTAAAAATTTTGTGTGATGGAAGCAGTTTCCAATTGTTTCCGGCATAAATTGATTCCATGTTATGGATAAACATCTTATAGCATCCAGGAGAGAAACTCTATTCTGGCCTCTGTTTTCAAAGCCCTGTATTACTTGTATCAAAATTAACTTTCTATAGTGGCATTTAAGATTCCAAATTACACCTCGGTCCTTAGGCTGAAGCACAATTGTAGTGTTTGGTGAAAGAAACACAAGTTTAATGTTACTCAGTTTGTGTTCTATTTTTAGGTATGCGGGGCAATAATCCAGCATGAGTAGAATCTTATGACACTTACCTTGCAGTTTTTGATTCCAGGAAATCAATTCTTCCTCAAACAGTTGAGACATCATCCATGAATTTTTGTTTGTGAAATAACACACAGGAAGAGATTTCATGTTTTTAAAACATCAAGGATTTTTAATTTTCCTATCACCATCAATTCTCTTTTCTCATTGCCATTAACATTAGCAACAACTAGAACTGTGATTTGTTCCTTTGACAATTTTCCACCAGCACACTTTTCTCCCTTGAATTTTAAAGTATAATCAGGGTATAAGTCTATAAAACAATTTAGTCTCATCTCAATTAAAAATAATTGAATCATTAAATCCTTCACGAGGCTTAGGCCAATCATTTTGTAACCAGTCGGTTGTAGACTGCAAGTTTACTTCAGCCAATTCTCTGCAAACTTTACCAAATGTAATGTTATGACAATGTTTAAATCGATCAATCCAACTATTGTTGCAAGTAAAGTTTTTTTATTCCCAGCAACTTTGCAATTCTTTGATTTTAACTTTTAAGATTGGGCCATTAATTGGAATTTTTAGGCTCCACTGCTTTGTGAACCACTTTATGGTTGCATGATCCAAATCTTCATATATAGATTTCATTACCTTTTTAATATTCATACTTGATTCATCAAATGCTTTCTGTATTTTCTTGCAGTCTTTCCAGATTGTGCATACAGTTGAGTTGATCAGGTCAAAGTCCTTACAAATCATAATCTTTATTGTACCTCCTTCAATTTGTTTTATGATGGAAATTTTATCATCAATGGAAAGATTTTTACACTTTGCCATTTTTAACATTCTACTTTTCTGAATATTGTACTGTCTACTGTAACAAACATTTGCAGAAATGACTAACCATTAAAGGAAGAAAATTCTTTAATGAACCTTCCTTGACTGATTTTTTCACAGAGTTATTAGCCAATAGAATACAAATCTGGACTGAGCATTGGGATGAATATAAAATTAGATTCACTTTAACTTTTAACCAGTGTGTATTGCAATTAAATCTTGTAAATCAAATGTTTTCTTAACCCTTCTAGGGGTTAAGAAAACATTTACAATTAAAAGATGCCTGAAAAAGAACTCAAAAGGGGTTAAGAAAATGTTCGATCTGCAAGATTTAATCATAATACACACCAATTAAAGGTTGAAGTGAGTCTAATTTTATAGCCAATAGAAACACTCCAGTGGACCTAAAAGATTTTGTAGCAACCTGTTTCCAATTAGCAGGACTGCATTTATGCATTTTTTCACTGAAAGCTTTTTGTACTGAAACTAAACTATAGTAACTGCTATAAAACACATAAGAAAAACTGATAACATACTACTAAATTCTTTCCTTAAAGATAGGCTAAAACATCAATCTAAATGTTGAAAAATATGGAAAATTTTGTTCAAACCTTCTTTGTAGAACTTAGTAAGCAATTCTCCAGTAGCTTTTTATTATAGCTGAGTTGTCATTATAACTGGTGCCATTATAACCTTGATAACAACTAACATTTTCAATCCTTCAGCTGGATCTTTTTCAAGTCGAACATAAACATTGCATTTTTTTAAAATGTTCTGTTAATTGAATATGTCTCCAGGTTAAATTTGCTGCATGACATTATTGTTATAATGTGAGGCACAAGAATTAAATCCATTTCAAATTAATATTTTTTCAAATTTTTTATTTTTATGTTTAAAAGTTACAACGATGTCACTTTATAACAATGACATCATATGCAGTAAATTTAACCTAGAGATGAATTTGAATAACATAACATTTAAATAAAAAAACAACATTTATGTTTGACCTGAAGAAGATCCAGATGAAAGATCAAAAATGTTAATCATTATCAAGATAATAAACTACTGGAGAATTGTTTAGAAAATTCTACAAAAAAAAATTTGGAGCTACTTCCACTCCATTATTAATAAAGTGTGAGTAGAAAATCTTGTTGTTATAATCAAGTTTCAATATTATTATAACAGGGTAAAATATAATGTTAAACTATAGGACTCTAGCCGGACCCTCAATATTTTATCATTATAGCTGAGTTGTCATTATAACTGGTGCCATTATAACCAAGTTCAACTGTATTTCTAACCACAAAAAGCAAATAGGGCTCACAGTATGCAACAGTTAGTTTGGAAGAATAACAGAGCAATTTTCTTTCTATTTCTTTACCCATTTGTTTTAAATGAATAATATTTAACAGACAAAGAACATTTGGTATTGCAGTTTATGAAAAAAGACCTTTTGGTCTGCATGATCCTAGATTTGAAATTTGTTTCTGTGTATTTTCATCAGTAACATTGATGGGTACAATACATGATTGGAAGATAATACAAATATACTGTACTGTACTTACTATTGTTGTTTTCATTTTCTAAATAATGAGCTGTAGGCAGTGGTGTAGCATGGATGTCAGCCGCCCGGAGCAGAGAAAATTTCGCCACTCCCTTATTTAGGTATCTCAATTTAAAAGACTAAAATTCAATTTCGTCACAGAATAAGTAATGAAAAATTCCATGCTCATTTCAATAGGTCTGAATCGTAGGTGCAACAAAAATATGAAATGAAATTATTCAAATTTTTACAAGATATTATTATTATTTATTGTGAAATTTTGCCACCCCTAAAAGTGCCACCCCCACTGCCCCCACTATGGTATGCCACTGACTGTAGGTGTACTCATTCATTCCTAATTTTCTGCAAAATCTTCTGAACTGTTTTGTTTACATTCATCTGGCTCTTGCATTCTCAAAATCAAGTTTTTTTAGCTATTGTCCATTTGAAAAATCATTCTATTTTATTTTTTTTAGTGGTCTTTTTTAATTTTATCATCCTTTTCTTTTTGCAATGTTCTCTTCTAAAACCCACTTAAATAGGACTCATTTTGTATGTCAAAAAAATTGTATGTCTCAAACTGTGTGTCATAAAATATACTGCTGGCCAAGTAAAATGCAACACCATGTAGGACTCCAGATATTGCAGGTGTTGCATTTTACTTGGCCAGCAGTGTAAATAAAATTACCAAGTTCTCTGGCATAAGAAAGTAAAAATAATCTTGTATAAAACTTATTAATACCACTTGTTCTTATTGAAGGCAGGAGACTTTAACTTTTCAGTGACTTTCTCTTTATTCTAACTTACACAATTTAAAATAAACAATAGTTTGAAATTCCTTGAATTTAAATTCACATGATTCTTGATACATTCAGACAAGCACTTTGCTTTCATTACCAAGTAAATGCTATATATCAGTCAAAAACCAGCAGATTGTATTTAATGTGCTGGCCACATAGATGAGTTATCAATGATTTGTCTAATTTTGAAAATCTCATAACATCAGATAGAAAATATAATTGAAAATAATATTTATATTCAAAATAATTATTTGTGCATTTTCATTTATTTATACATTCTAAAAGAAATTAACTATAAGTTTTTAATTAAAATTGCTTTGCAGTTTGGTAGTTGACTTATCATCTTTTATTCAGGGTAGTGTTAGATCATTTTAATATTGGCTATATGTTACAAAGTTAGAATCTATGTATTAAAAATGTAGAATTTTGTGCAGATAGTTTGTTATTTGTTCTGTTTCAGTTGAAATTGTTGTCAGTTTATTTTACTGGGTCAGGATGCTATGTCCTTATTGTAACCTTTGACATTAAACTGTGGCATTCCAATCAAGTGTTGGGATGAGAATGAAAGTTAGTGGTCAGTCTTTTCTCTGTTGTGAATCACTCTAAATCATTCTACTATATTCTGTTCATTACTTTGTTTTTATATGTGTGAAACCAACATAATTATGTGCAATAAACATACTTAAGTTTCAATTATTTGAGTGTAACAAACATAAAAATGTCTTCCAGTTATGGGCCCCAAAGATTACTAGGCCCCCACATTGAAGGGGTTTGTGGGGATGATTGTTACAGCCCTGCACTTGCCCCATATTGTACAGAACATCGTGTATTTTAAGTATAATACATGATGTGCAATATATTATTAGTATTTATATAATAATAAATAATATCATTATAATANTTTATAATAATATTAATATAATATTATTATAAAATAAACATAACATTATTTAATGTCTTTATTTATTAGTGTTTTTCATTGTATGTGCAATACATTCCATTTACTTTGAGTTTTCAATAGTTTGAGGAGTGTCTCATATCTATTCAACTTGAACTATTGAGACTCTACTGTATAGGTGAGTGCATTACTATTATTTGCAACATTAAAGAGAATTGAGTTCTTTTTTTTATCAAACTAAAATCCAATTATTGAAAACATAAGAAATAAATGTCATCAAATTTGCAAAATTACATGAATTGCAGAAATAATCATAGCATCAACTATCTACAAGACAAGCCTTATGTAATATGGTGCCCCAGGACAAGAGTATGTTTTGAAACTCCAAATTCAAGTTCATCCCTGAATAAAAATTCTGGAAACAGGTTTGAATAAGAACATTTTAACTAAAATTATACAGGTTAGGTTAAAACCTTTTATTGATAGTCAATATAAAAAAAATCTTTCAATTTTAAATATAAGATAATTGCACTTTCATTTGAGTGAAAGTTGTAATTGTTTTTGATCAGTCAATCTTCTGACCAATGCCTTTTACTTTTGACAATACAGCTAATGAAAACACTCTATTGTCAGTCATTGTTGGTCTGAGATAAGTTTAGTGCATATCTCTAGAGTTTTTTCATAGTTTGTGTTTCATTTTTCCCCCTTTATCTATTATTTTACTTTATTTTTTTCTTTTGCATTTTCTTTTTAAGTAAAGCCAAATGATCTGCAAGATTATATCAAGCTATAATATGGCTGCTAATAATAATTAAATATTAAGTAATTTTGCCTACAGTTAAGCATTAGGGCTCTTAATGAATTTAATAACTATAAATAAATTAATATTTAATTTTTAATTTATAAAGTTTTGGAAGAAAATAATCAGCCTGGAATAGGACTCAAACACACAACTTCTGTATATCATGCAGATGCATTACCAGTTAAATACTCAAACCTCTGTATGATCTTTGTATCTAGAACTGACAACTCATCCACATGCTATGTAGCTTGTGTCTCACATGTTGCAAGTTGAGTCCCACTTATAAAAAATATAAAAATTTCTTTTGCCCACTGAACTTTGTCTCCTGATTAAAACAAATTTGATTATAAGACAAAAAGAGTTTACTGTTTAATAGTCATAATTGTAATACTATTGTATATACTACTAGTATGTATACTACTAGTATGCTTTCTGCATTTATAAAGTGTGTTCTTACCAGGGATAAACCCGATTGTCAACCAGGGATTAGCAACCTGTTTTGCAAGGAAAAAGTCAATTTTTCAAAATTTCAATATAAATCAAATTACCAAGATCTACAGGATGTACTGCATATAAATGAAAAATACATTTAAAAATACAACTGTAAAATATTTCAAATATATCTATCTATTTCTTAATTCATGATGATATCTATCATAAGATGCAAACATGATATGTTATGTTGATCAATTTTCAGTTAATGAAATTTAGGAAGAAAAAATATTTAAAATAAAATGACATTCAAAGAAAACATAATAAATATTTTAAATTAAATTTATAGGATAATCTTTTCTAAGATTACTACATAGAAACACAGTTGGCAAAATGTAAATTTTTTACTTTTCATTATCACTACACTTTTTTATTTAACACTACACTTTTTTTATTCAAATTAATTCTGAATTTATTTATATTGTGGTTCTATTCACTCTTTGCATTTTTTATGAATCTATTTTATATATTTATTTATTGACTTTTGTGTTTGGGCTTGATTGTCCAAACATGCTTAGAAGAACTGATATTTAAAGTGAGCTTCAACAAAGCAGAATTTTCTTATATATAAAATACTTTTTAAAACTATTATTATTATATATACTATAATAAAATATTATATTATGCATAAAATATTTACATATTTCATTTGATCTTTGACATTCATGCCATATATATTAATCAATCATATTAAGAAAATGCATTCTCCTAGTGTTTATATTATGAATTATTTAACTCTGATATCTGAAATGTTAAATAATAACTAATTGTTGTTATTGAATATGTTAATAAAATATTGACATCATTAATTTATTAATAAAAATAATATAAAATAAATTTTTTAATTGATATTTAGTGAAATAGTTTTCTTATAAAATCTTTTATATTACATTCATAATACTTTACATTTTAATATTACTTTTCCATTAGCATTTCAGTTCCTCATTGTATCAAAAACAAAAATATAATATAGTAAATTTTGCATTTAAAATACTATTTTTGATAAACATTTCTTAAAAACTTATATTAATTATTAAGAACATAATTTATTTACTATATACAATTAATTCTCATGTCTACAAAACTGATGCTATACAATTTCATGTGCATTTGATCTAGATCATGGATGGCCAACCTGCAGCACGTGTGCCACAGTGTCGCACAAAGTTTTAACAGTGGTGTGCAAAGACTTATTGAAAATTTAAAAATTTGAAATAATAATAATGTCATCTTCAGGAATTTTGTCAAAATCTGTAAAACCCTACTCATACACTACTGAATACAACAGTGCTGGAAAGTGGCACTGCTTAACACCAGTACAACGATGCAGTAAGACAGCGTGGTCATGGGACAAGTCCAATGATTTGAGTTGCCTTGCTTTGGTGCCATTGTGTCTTGCTATGGTTGTTCATTCTTGAGCGAGAGCACAACCTGTACTGGTTAATTGTTATCCACCTGAAATCCAAATTGAAATTATTGACCTACAGCATCATACTATATTAAAAAGCAAATATAAGGAACTTATTCCAACTGCAAGTGATCCAAATTATATTGAATTTTGGAAATTTGTACCAACAAGCAATTTTCCAAATTTACACAATTTGGCTGTCAGATATTGTTGTAGGTTTGGATCAACATATGTTTGTGAACAAATATTTTCTATTATGAACATAAAAAAATCAAAATATCGTTCAAGATTTACTGATATGCACATACTGTAAAACACCTAATTTTGTTAGCATCTTCAAGAACTAATCCTAATATAGATGGCTTGGTAAAAAAACTACAAATTTAAAAGCCACATTAATTAAGTACTGACTGTTTAATAATTATTTAGATTTAAATGTTTCAAGTTATTCATTTTTATTTTATACATAGCATAACTGACCAAACCTTTAAAAATGTTTATTAACAATAAAAACTAAGTTTGTACTTTTATTTTATTTATTATATTATTTTTTAAATCGCCACTACTCAGACTTACATGGAAAAAAAAGTGCTATTAGTATAAAAATCCCATAATCAGCCTATAAATAGCATTTTTTCACCTTTTTATATTTTTAGTATGTTGGAAAAGTTGGAAGTGGAGCACAATTTTTTTTTTTTTTAGATAGTGGCACCCTTTCCAAAAAGGTTGGCCACCCCTGATCTAGATCCTGTAAGTATAGTTTATGGATGGGAGTTGACATTGAAGCCATGCAATTTCTGCAACTGTCTACCCTTATTTTATTTATGGTAGATAAAAATTTAGAACAATAAATCAAAAAATTTGCTAATGAAGTTAAAAATATACTTAAAAAATAATAAATTTAATAATTTGACTAACTTGTAACTGCAATATTTCCCATTGTAACATCTTGCCCTTCACTATTTACAGCAACACATGAATACTTTCCAGCATCTGACAGTGTAACTGAATCCATAATCAATTCATAAACTCCTTTAATTGTGGAAATAATTTTTATTCTGTTATCTTGTTTTAATTCAGTTTCATTTTTATAACTGAAATTTTAAAAATATTTTATTTAGTAACATTTATTTATATTTTAAAAACAATAATGTATTAAAAAATTTAATAAAACAGTACAAGGTAACTGTTGGCTCTGGAACACCATCTACTGTGATTGTAAATCTTGCATTGGTGTTTTCAATTAACCGTGAATCCATTAACTTCTCTTTAAAACGGGGTGCATAAGGTAATGTTGAACCTCCTGGACTTTTTGGACGCTGTACATCTGTTTCTAAAATTAAAAAGATTAATATTCTCATTATCTGACATATTAATTCAGATCACATATCATAAATATTTATATTATTGAGATTCTTTAACTATATTTTCCATATTCTCAAGACTGTTTAATCAAAATAAATAAATTGGTAAATAGCTTATTGTCCTTATATTACAATATGAATACTGTAATATAAGTTTTGGCTCACTAAGTTTGGATCACTTAGTAACATGAATACTTTCCAGCATCTGACAGTGTAACTGAATCCATAATCAACAACTAGATTCCATAGAGCCAAAACTGTGAAGTTTTGGCTCTATGGAAGACTGTTTTCACTGTTTTCACTGTTGACATTGTTGGCAAATCACACAGAAATGGGTGAACACAGGTTTATTATAATAATTATATGCATTTCAGACAGTCTATCTGTCCCTCTTCAGCCATGCTTGTTATGATTTGATCAGTTTACAGGAGTCTAAAATACAATGATAACCTGCTTGTATTTTATATTCCTGTAAACCAACCAAATTGTAACATCCATGGCTGAAGAGGGACAGATAGACTGTCCAAAATGCATAACATCATTATGTAAGGAACCAAGTCCGAACGTTATTTTTATTTACTTTTATTTTGCTTATTATTCTATTTTTTGTTTGGGGCTTATGTTTTGTTAGGATGAAGGTTTCCTCACCATTCACCTTAGTAACTTAAAAAAATAGAAGAAAAACAAACTCACCGACGAAAGAAAAGCGCCGTAGAAAAACTCGCGCACACTTTCGCTTCCTGAGCGGAAAAAAGTAAGTCTGCACCGAGGAAAGGGGGAGACCCCACAAGCACAAATTAGGGATTCGCTAAACCTTAAAGAATAAAAAAATGTCCCGAAAATTGTGAAAAAAAATAATGTAAAAGGTTAGAGAGTATTGTCGGAAAATAGGCTGCCAGACAAACGAAAAAAGTTTATTGTTAGCGTTAAGTATGTAAATGAGGAGAGTGATCTCATTCAGAATTGTGACGTCACCTCACACTATAAAGCCTCTAACTCAAGTGAAAACGAACGAGGTGAATTCCTGATAGCAACGAGCTTTG